TGATTGATTGATAAAGATTAAGCCACCCAAGAGGTGGCACGGGCATGAATAACCCGTAAGTCTATAACCCGTCGCAAGCGAATCTTTATATTACCCCACACAATTTTCGATGCCGGAGGTAACCTAATGTTTCCAAGTGCTCATTTGCTTTCAATTTAACTCATAAGATTTGTAATTCTTTTTTTAAATATTATGTTAATAACATTATGGCACAATAAAACCTTCGTTTCCACTTTGTAACTTGGAACTTTGCGATGCACACCGTAATTAACTTGAAATGTGCACGCTTGTGTTCTTGTCATCCTCTCCTTAACTTGTGGTGCTATCTGTGAGCCGTCGTGAGAGGGGCAGCTCCACTCTAACCATCACCAGATAAGAGCTACACGTAACTGATGAAGGCGGCGGGGTAGGAGGTGACGGTGGTGGAGAACCAGGAGCTCCTGTGGTCGACACATGAGCTGGTCTGAGGTCACGTCTCTCCCATCAGACCCGTCTGTCAGCGCCTCATGGCTAGTAATCAATACATATGTGAATTAAATTTAATTCTCACACTTAGGCAAGCGTAAAAAGAGTTATGCCAACAAGTGCCCCAAGCACATAGATTTATGGGACAGTAGGTAGTGAAAATTATATTGAGGCTTTACAAGGAGATCTACAGGAACTATATCAATGGGTTTATAACCTTATGGGTGAAAAAGCATGTCCTGTTTTTTGTCCTGCATTGTGGCTTGTCGAGCTTGACACCGTTGCACCTTGTGTACGTTACAAGTGATCTTTTAAAGAAGTGGTCTGGATCCAGCCCGTTTTCAAGAGCGTTCCCAACATCAAGAAACTGTCGTACTAAAGTGTCGTATCCTAACCTACCACAGGACCCACGGACAGAAAACGGAACATTGTCAATTTCGCGAGCCGCTACCATTTTCTAGTACGACAGTTTTTGGCCTTAGGTAAAGTATACGTCGAAATGCGACGTGCTATTATGAGGACGGGTTGCTGGATCAACACCTTTCAAATTGTTCATTATTTAAATGGAATCTTTGAGATCGGATCTGTTATTTCTGGTTTGTGGTCGTGAGGCCCTCAGCCTTTCCTAGTATGAAAGTCAATTAGTTCTGGAATGATGTTTGCTGTTATGCACTGTGCTGTCTCCAAAGCAGACACGTCCTTCTCAAGATGAGGTCTTCATCAATAGTATTCCAGATGGGTGCGCATCAGAGATTTGTATAATTGAATAATCACTTGATTTCCTTTGAAGTCTAAGGTTCGTTTGACTATTCCTAGGTCTTGGTTGGCTTCTTGTACTGCAGCTCCCACTTGCTGGGCAACTTTCAGTAAATAATGGGTTCTGATGCCAAGGTTCTTTTCTTTATCAATCTGCTGCAAGGTAATATTGATAGAGATGTGTAGTCTTGTGCTGTAGTCACAATCGACTTGAGAATGATCCAGGACGGACCGAAACGTCGTCGTCTCTTCACTTTCTAATGTGTGGTCTGGTCAACAAGGTAATATTGTTAATTTGGTAGTTGAGAAGTGGATTGTTATGCCCCACATGTAAGGTCTTGCATTTTTACGATATTAAAAAACATTTGCCAATCTTCCGACCGTCCCGACGGTCGAAGTGGTCAGGCACCATTCCTCCATTCCGTCTTAACCCAGATCCTTGACCTTCCACATGATATATACTCGTACTGGCTGGGTACTTTCTCCTCATAACTACCAACCTTCCACAGTATGAACATGCCACAACACCACCACAAGCATACACACATCTCCACCAACCTTCCACAGTATGAACAAGACATACCACAACACCACCACAAGGATACACACATCTCCACCAACCTTCCACAATATGAACAAGACATGCCACAACACCACCACAAGCATACACACATCTCCACCAAAAAATGAACATTAAAAGTATTATTAATCTCTCGGGAACAATGTAAACAGCATGTTCTGTTGTACTTCCTATATTACGGTGTTCAAAACTCGCCTTAGGTCTACTATACCATTTTGGCATGTAAGCATTTGTAAATATCTTTAACACTGTGATGGATAATGCCACTTGGGTTAAGTTTTAGGTTATATTAGATTTCATTTGTCTCTTGTAATTGTCTTCCCCCTTTATGGTATAGCTAAATACAGGTCTCCCATCTCGCTTATCCGTTTTCATTACTTTACATATATTTGGACTGAATTCCAGCAGCCATTTATCTGCCCCACTCTTGAAGTTTGTCAAGGTCTTCTTGCAGCACCTTACAGTTCTCTTCAGAGTGTGTGTGTGTGTGTGTGTGTGGGAGGGTGTAAAGGCGGGTTAAATGGTGGGGGGGGAGGGTGTGGGGTTGGGGGAGGGTGTGGGGTTGGGGGAGGGTGTGGGGGTGGGGGAAGGTGTGGGGGTTGGGGAGGGTGTAGGGGTGGGGAAGGGTGTAGGGGTGGGGGAAGGTGTGGGGGTGGGGGAGGGTGTAGGGGTGGGGAAGGGTGCAGGGGTGGGGGAAGGTGTGAGGGTGGGGGATGGTGTTGGGGGTGGGGGAGGTGGTCAGGTAACCCCCAGGAAGTAAGGACTTCAGTTACTGCTGCTGGAAGCTCAAGTATAATGTCGTTCCGGACGCCTACCTGACCCAACACTGTGTTCCTCTTGTGTTGCTGCAGTCTTGTGTTGTGTTGTGTTGTTGTAATCTTGTGTTGTGTTGTGCTGTTGTTATCTTGTGTTGTGTTGTGTTGTTGTAATCTTGTGTTGTGTTGTGCTGTTGTTATCTTGTGTTGTGTTGTGTTGTGTTGTTGTAATCTTGTGTTGTGTTGTGTTGTTGTAATCTTGTGTTGTGTTGTGTTGTGTTGTGTTGTGTTGTGTTGTTGTAATCTTGTGTTGTGTTGTGCTGTTGTTATCTTGTGTTGTGTTGTGTTGTGTTGTTGTAATCTTGTGTTGTGTTGTGTTGTTGTTATCTTGTGTTGTGTTGTGTTGTGTTGTGTTGTTGTAATCTTGTGTTGTGTTGTGTTGTGTTGTGTTGTTGTAATCTTGTGTTGTGTTGTGTTGTGTTGTGTTGTTGTAATCTTGTGTTGTGTTGTGTTGTGTTGTGTTGTGTTGTTGTAATCTTGTGTTGTGTTGTGTTGTTGTAATCTTGTGTTGTGTTGTGTTGTGCTGTTGTTATCTTGTGTTGTGTTGTGTTGTTGTTATCTTGTGTTGTGTTGTGTTGTTGTAATCTTGTGTTGTGTTGTGTTGTGCTGTTGTAATCTTGTGTTGTGTTGTGTTGTTGTTATCTTGTGTTGTGTTGTGTTGTTGTAATCTTGTGTTGTGTTGTGTTGTTGTAATCTTGTGTTGTGTTGTGTTGTTGTAATCTTGTGTTGTGTTGTTGTAATCTTGTGTTGTGTTGTGTTGTTGTAATCTTGTGTTGTGTTGTGTTGTGTTGTTGTAATCTTGTGTTGTGTTGTTGTAATCTTGTGTTGTGTTGTGTTGTGTTGTGTTGTGTTGTTGTTATCTTGTGTTGTGTTGTGTTGTTGTAATCTTGTGTTGTGTTGTGTTGTTGTTATCTTGTGTTGTGTTGTGTTGTGTTGTTGTAATCTTGTGTTGTGTTGTGTTGTTGTAATCTTGTGTTGTGTTGTTGTTATCTTGTGTTGTGTTGTGTTGTGTTGTGTTGTTGTAATCTTGTGTTGTGTTGTGTTGTGTTGTGTTGTTGTAATCTTGTGTTGTGTTGTGTTGTTGTTATCTTGTGTTGTGTTGTGTTGTGTTGTGTTGTGTTGTGTTGTGTTGTGTTGTTGTAATCTTGTGTTGTGTTGTGTTGTGTTGTGTTGTGTTGTTGTAATCTTGTGTTGTGTTGTGTTGTTGTAATCTTGTGTTGTGTTGTGTTGTGTTGTGTTGTTGTAATCTTGTGTTGTGTTGTGTTGTTGTAATCTTGTGTTGTGTTGTGTTGTGTTGTGTTGTGTTGTGTTGTGTTGTGTTGTTGTAATCTTGTGTTGTGTTGTGTTGTTGTAATCTTGTGTTGTGTTGTGTTGTGTTGTGTTGTGTTGTGTTGTGTTGTGTTGTTGTAATCTTGTGTTGTGTTGTGTTGTGTTGTGTTGTTGTAATCTTGTGTTGTGTTGTGTTGTGTTGTGTTGTGTTGTGTTGTTGTTATCTTGTGTTGTGTTGTGTTGTGTTGTGTTGTGTTGTGTTGTGTTGTTGTAATCTTGTGTTGTGTTGTGTTGTGTTGTGTTGTGCTGTTGTTATCTTGTGTTGTGTTGTGTTGTTGTTATCTTGTGTTGTGTTGTGTTGTTGTAATCTTGTGTTGTGTTGTGTTGTTGTTATCTTGTGTTGTGTTGTGTTGTGTTGTGTTGTGTTGTGTTGTGTTGTGTTGTTGTAATCTTGTGTTGTGTTGTGTTGTGTTGTGTTGTGTTGTGTTGTTGTAATCTTGTGTTGTGTTGTGCTGTTGTTATCTTGTGTTGTGTTGTGTTGTGTTGTGTTGTTGTTATCTTGTGTTGTGTTGTGTTGTGCTGTTGTTATCTTGTGTTGTGTTGTGTTGTGTTGTTGTAATCTTGTGTTGTGTTGTGTTGTTGTTATCTTGTGTTGTGTTGTGTTGTGTTGTGTTGTTGTAATCTTGTGTTGTGTTGTGCTGTTGTTATCTTGTGTTGTGTTGTGTTGTTGTAATCTTGTGTTGTGTTGTGTTGTTGTTATCTTGTGTTGTGTTGTGTTGTGTTGTGTTGTTGTAATCTTGTGTTGTGTTGTGTTGTGTTGTTGTAATCTTGTGTTGTGTTGTGTTGTTGTAATCTTGTGTTGTGTTGTTGTAATCCTGTGTTGTGTTGTGTTGCTGTAGTCTTGTGTTGTGTTGCTGTAGTCTTGTGTTGTGTTTGCCAAGACTGGCAAACCCTGTCTCCTATGGCATGATGACACCGGCGTAGCTCGTCCTGTGTTCTATATGACAGTGACGTTGATGTATCTGACATGACAAAACAAGTAACAGAAGATGATAAAAGTTACACGAGTAAACACTCGTTATCTTACACACCATTCTACCGTTCTACCGGCTTACCTCTGCACCCCTCCAACCCAGAATCTGTCTGAGGATCGTCCTGCGACGTGTGGTCCTGGGGCGAAAGATCTTGAGGTGAGGAATCCTGGGGTGATGAGTCCTGGGACGAGAGATCTGGGCGTGTTGAGCTCTGGGGCTGAGTACGGGCACTAGAGACCTTTGGAGAGCCCCGGCCAGCATCCTCTCCGGCGCTCCAATACTCTTCGTCGTCGTGCTCGGTGCGAAAGACAACCTGTGTACTATGATATACCTCCGGGTCATGAGGGAGGCTAATCGACCTGCTGATGTTGTCGCGGGAAGCTTCCTCGCACTGGTAGTCCACATATGGTAGACTGGCGGCACGAGCAGGTTCACCGGCGGACGGCGAGGCAACCGGAAAATCAAAAGTAAACACGAGGGGCTGTGAGATGCAAAGATTCTGATCACAACAGGCGGTGCAGGTGGGCATGGGGCACAGAGCACTAGGTGAGACCAGAACTGACTCCTGGCTAGCCTGGGGGTCTGCCCGGGGCATAGGTGGGAATCTTTCAGTGATGCGACGACGCACATCAGCCAATTCTGAATTGACACTTGCGGTTGATTCTGAATCACTATTGTCTTTGGGGTGCTCCCTGTCTTCCTTAGATGGAGATAATTGTTTGTCGTCTTTCGTGGTTTCAACTGGCTGTTCACCGGATTCTGCAGTTTTCTGATGCGATAGTACCCGGGAAGCAACACTGCCCTCAGACTCTGGACAAGGAACATCAGTTTCTGTAGAAAAAGAAGGCTCTTGCGCATCGACCACACTTAAGATGGTGTCCAAGAGTTCACTGTAGAAGTCTGTGTCATCGGTGGCTCTTCCTTCTTGCTCCGGTGTCGAACTCTCTTCCTCAAAACTCAAGAAGCTATTTTCCACCGTCTCGTGTTCGCTAGTGGTGGTCACCTCATCTCCAGTATAACAGGTATCAGAAAACGTTGCTACAGTTGTACCATCCATTGCCGGGTTTAACACCAAACTGTAACTGCTTTGGGTTGGCACTGGATCTCGAAGGGCTTCTACTTCGTAACCTGTCGTTCCTACTGCGCTTGCACTTTTTTTATGGCAGAATTTAACAGCATGAGGTTTTGTGTTTTCTAAAGCTACTTGACTGACCAAAGGCGTGTTATCGTTCGCAACAAAGGTGGCTTCAGAACTTACTACGGATGTCACGTCTGAGGATGAGTACGAGGTTTTGTAGGGAAGTTTATTATTCCTTGTGCGCTGTCTTCCTGAGGATCCCATATGGCCTCTACGAAATGCTCTATCACCGGATCCCACATCGTCGGGATCCCCGTCCCTAGAGGGGTCAGTGTCAGCGTTAGAACCGTTGGTGTAGGCCGGTGACCTAACGGACAAATCCAGTGTAGAACTTGTGGTGCTGGAAATACAAGGGGCACAACTTTGTAGGATCCTGTCAATAGCACTGCTCCTGCTACTGCTGGCGCTCACGGAGCCCTGACAACGCCTATCCAAGCTGCTCGCCTCCATCTGAGTACTTGGTTCAGCGTAGTCGCTCCTCAGTGGTATTTGTTGATCTGAATCTCTGTTATCCTCATCCTCGTAAGTCCGAGTTTTGGAGGATTTTCTCGGTTCTATGCTACTTATTGAGTAGGACCTTTGTCTTTCTCCTGGAAGCTCGTTATCAAAGTAGTGAAGTTTTTGAAGCCGAACTCCTGTAATGTCAGATTTCTGTTTTTTTAAAATTCCAACTCTGATTGCCTTTTGCTTCATGTAATTTGATCTTTGCTTTTCAGCTCTGCTCTCGGATTCTGGTTGAAGTTTTCTCCTTAAGGAAGCTCGTTCATATGCCGATCGCTTGGGCGAGTAAGCCCCAATCAGGGGCTGACTGGCCGATAACCTAGCCATCATAGGCGACGGTGATTGGCTCTTTACATCCATATGAGATCCTTTACGAGGGACAGTTTTTTTTGGTACAATTTCTCTGGATATGCTTTCTCGGTGGTTGTGCTCAGTATCCACAAACTGTGTTGCTGTGACGCCGGCAGGGACTGATGTAGCAGCTTGGAGGTTCTCGTATATGTGTATCACCTTGGGGACAAGTTTTCTGACCTCAGCCGGGGTAGATATCTCTTCCTCACTTCCTGGTAAATGCTGTACAGGAGCTTCCGTTGCCCCACCTCGGCAAAATGTAACTTCGGGTACATTTTCATATATGTGTGTTTCTGTTGGTATTCCAGCAACAGATAATCTAGCTTTTGTAGCATCAGGAAGTTTAATAATTTCTTTATCACAAGTTTCCCAAGTCTGGCTGCACTGCATAATTTTTGCTTCAGTCTTTTCTTCGAATATTTCCTCTGACGAAACCAATTGAGAAGGCTTTACAACAGACGTTTGGTAGTTTGGAATCACAGTTATCTCTGTTTCAGAAATATCTACAGATTTATTTTCTGATATTTTAATGTCCAGAGCGTCCGCTTCACCATCATGCATCGGACGACTGCTGTCGCCGTCCAAGTCCTCTGCCTTGGACGGTGACAGCAGACCTAAGACGTTCTCCCTAGAATCCTTCTTCTTGAGAACCCCAACAATGCGACAGGCGGAGGTGGTGGTGTTCGGGGAGGTTGGGGTGTCGACGAGGTTGGGGATCTCCACACAGGTCAGGCTAGAGAGGCGGATGTTCTCCACACTCCGGCTTTTTGTCTTAATTCTCCCAGATACACCACGAGCGAAGATTTCACTCACTGTCGACGCATTAGTTGCGTCATTTGTGGCTCCTACTAATTTCTCTTGGCGAAAATCACTCTCTGTCCGACTTCTCTTAAATGAAGGAGGGCGAGGAATTTTTGCAAGCTTATACGAGCCGAAGTCAGAGTCCTCATTTAAGGTAAAGTTTCCTTCTGAAATCGTTTTGGTAAGCCGTCTGTGACCTGTCAATAGTCTACGAGTTGTTGTTGTAAGATCGGTTTCATCGCATTTTGTGATCTTTTTAGAACCCACATCATGCAATGCGTCTGTATTGGAATCATCAAAAACATTATCTAACTCAGCATCATCACCAGCGGGTTTACCATCAAGTGAAAGCATCTGGGCCATGAGTGCGGCCTCAGGCGTCTGGGGGAGCGCGCTCTCGTCAGAGACCCCGCCGCTCCAGCTCACCTCCTCCACCGCTCCATCTTGCAAATCTTTCTCAAAATTCTTCAGAGATAGAGTTTCTTGGTTACTAACGTTATCTTCAAATATTTCCGCTTCACTCTGGGTGACGTTGAGGATGTCACCATGCATCGAGGTCGAGTCAGAAGGCGACGTTCTTTCGTGTATCACACCGCTCTCTACACAGTCGCCGTTGTTCGCCACCAGTAAATGGAGGGTTGGAGAATCCTGGCTGGATTTTGTGTGCTGTTTCTTCTCGGGAATGTTTACGGTAGAATATGTTTTGCTGGAATAATCCACCGTTTGGTTTCCCTCTAAACGATTATTTTCATTTAAGTCAGTAACAAGTTTTGTGAATGTCTTAACCAATGTTTTCCCATCAGGACTTAGTCCGTCAAAATCTGTGATGATTAGTTTATTGATTTTTGCATTGGTGGATTGTGTGGTTTCGTGGTCTGTGGTGGAGGGTGTGGCTCCATGGTCTGTGGTGAATGGTGTGGCCCCATGGTCTGTGGTGGATGGTGTGGTTTCGTGATCTGTGGTGGATGGTGTGGCCCCATGGTCTGTGGTGGATGGTGTGGCTTCGTGGTCTGTGGTGGATGGTGTGGCCCCATGGTCTGTGGTGGATGGTGTGGTTTCGTGGTCTGTGGTGGATGGTGTGGCTTCGTGGTCTGTGGTGGATGGTGTGGCCCCATGGTCTGTGGTGGATGGTGTGGTTCCATGGTCTGTGGTGGATGGTGTGGCTTCGTGGTCTGTGGTGGAGGGTGTGGCCCAATGGTCTGTGGTGGATGGTGTGGTCCCATAGTCTGTGGTGAATGGTGTGGCTTCGTGGTCTGTGGTGGAGGGTGTGGCTCCGTGATCTGTGGTGGATGGTGTGGCTTCGTGGTCTGTGGTGGATGGTGTGGCCCCATGGTCTGTGGTGGATGGTGTGGCTTCGTGGTCTGTGGTGGATGGTGTGGCTTCGTGGTCTGTGGTGGATGGTGTGGCCCCATGGTCTGTGGTGGATGGTGTGGTCCCATGGTCTGTAGTGGATGGTGTGGCCCCATGGTCTGTGGTGGATGGTGTGGCCCCATGGTCTGTGGTGGATGGTGTGGCTTCGTGGTCTGTGGTGGATGGTGTGGCCCCGTGGTCTGTGGTGGATGGTGTGGCCCCGTGGTCTGTGGTGGATGGTGTGGCTCCGTGATCTGTGGTGGATGGTGTAGCTCCGTGGTCTGTGGTGGATGGTGTGGCTTCGTGGTCTGTGGTGGAGGGTGTGGCTCCGTGATCTGTGGTGGATGGTGTGGCTTCGTGGTCTGTGGTGGATGGTGTGGCCCCATGGTCTGTGGTGGATGGTGTGGTTTCGTGGTCTGTGGTGGATGGTGTGGCCCCATGGTCTGTGGTGGAGGGTGTGGCCCCATGGTCTGTGGTGGAGGGTGTGGCCCCATGGTCTGTGGTGGAGGGTGTGGCCCCATGGTCTGTGGTGGAGGGTGTGGCCCCATGGTCTGTGGTGGAGAGTGTGGCCCCATGGTCTGTGGTGGAGGGTGTGGCCCCATGGTCTGTGGTGGAGGGTGTGGCCCCATGGTCTGTGGTGGAGGGTGTGGCCCCATGGTCTGTGGTGGATGGTGTGGCTTCGTGGTCTGTGGTGGAGGGTGTGGCCCCATGGTCTGTGGTGGAGGGTGTGGCCCCATGGTCTGTGGTGGATGTTGTGGTTTCGTGGTCTTTGGTGGATGGTGTGGCCCCATGGTCTGTGGTGGAGGGTGTGGCCCCATGGTCTGTGGTGGAAGGTGTGGCCCCATGGTCTGTGGTGGAGGGTGTGGCCCCATGGTCTGTGGTGGATGGTGTGGTTTCGTGGTCTGTGGTGGATGGTGTGGCCCCATGGTCTGTGGTGGAGGGTGTGGCCCCATGGTCTGTGGTGGAGGGTGTGGCCCCATGGTCTGTGGTGGATGGTGTGGCCCCATGGTCTGTGGTGGAGGGTGTGGCCCCATGGTCTGTGGTGGTGCATGGTGAGGGGTGGCTAGTGGTCCTGGTAACGGAGGTGTGCTCAGTGGCGGCTACGAGGTCGCGACCAGTGGTAGTTACAGGGTCGTGATCAGTGAGGGGCGTTGCAGTAGCAGCATGAGGACGCGACCTTCCCCGGCTCCTCGGGTAGGTGATGACGGCCTCACCTGCAGGATCATCTTGCACCCGTGTCCCTCGTCGGCTCCCAGCAGCCTCCTCTTCCTCTCTCCCGTCGCACTCTCCCACAATGTGGCCCGCCTTACCTTCCTCTCTCCTCTCACCCTCTACAGCAGCATTTCTCCATTTTTCTTCCGTGTTCGGAAACACATTTTGGATAGATATTAATTCGTCACCCGTTGCTGCACCTCTTGTGACCGCGGGACCTTGCGAGACTTCGGTCTTTTCGCTAATTTGGAGTTCGTTCATATCCCAATCTCGTCCCCTGTCTCTAGCGAACTCTAGTGAGGTTTTGAGACTACCGCTGATCTTGTCCGTCTCTTGTTCATCAAGTATGGCTGTCACCTCTGGGTCCTTCTGCCCTATATCCCTCAGTGTCCTGATCTTCTCTATCATCATGCCATCGTCTTGCCTGAATTTGGCGATCAACTCGTCCCTACTATTTGCTGAACTACTAGTGGCGTCTTCTAAATTCTTGAGAATATTCCCACTCTCCTCCCACTCTTTCTCTTTTCTTTTCCTCAAGCGCTCGTGGCTCAAGTGGCGGCTTGCGTGACGCCGGGCTGCCACATACCTGTCCTCCCGTTCCATCGAGGTATCCATAGCAGATGCGAACTTCTGGTTATTTTTGTCCAGTGTCACTCCAGCGGCCGAAGTGCTAGTGTCGCCACTCTGCTCCCTCTGGCTACTGGACGAGGATGCTACCGTGGTTGTCGCCAATACCACCTCTTCTCCTGTCGCCGTCACCACCGCCTTTGCTGCTCTTGCTGGTGTTACTACCTCCTCTCCTGCACCTGTCACCAACTCCCCTCTTGTCTCTGCCGTCGCACCTTCCCTTTTTGTCCTTGCTTCCGCCACCACATCCTCTACTGTCTGCGTCATCGCTACTACCTCCTCTGGTAGCTGTACAGTTGTCACTACCTCTTCAGTTGTCCCGTTTGTCGTCACGACCTCCTTTTCTGGCTCAATATCCGTCACCACCTCTTCCGCTGTCCGTGCCGCCATCAACGCCCCTTGTGCTGCCCCTGCCGTCGTCACCACCTCTTCTGCTGCCTCTGCCACCGTCACCACTTCGTCTGGCTTTACCGAAGTCACCACCTCCCCTGTATCTCCTTTCGTCACAAGCTGGCCTCCAGTACTGTCACTTGTCTCTGGTGTCACAACACTTTCATTATCTTCTTTCTTTTCCTCGCATATTATTTTCATTTTGGTTTTGTCACTTGGTGCTCTACTCCTTTCTCCGGCAACTACATACTCATTAATTTCAAAGCCAATTTCAGAATTTGATGCTGAACTTTTCAATTCTTCATGTACACTTTCTGCTTCTCCAACTGAAGCTTCGTCTCTCGTCTCTCTTATGGGGTTTATATTTAGTATACTGGCATCGGTATTCAGCTCCCCAGAAACACTAACATTTGCCTTTATATCTGAAGGGCCGTCGTCCTCCGGATAAATGTTGCTGCTTGCTGTCTTCTCAGTACTTTGTGACGTCTTCCTATACTCAACCTTGCGAACACCTCTGAAGTGCTCTGGGATCACCTTCTCATTCCTTGAAATCTCTCGAGGTTTCTGCTGCTGAGATTCAAAGAACTGAATGATCTCAGAGTCAAGCTTGCCGCTTGTTTTTGAAGCGATGTAAACATTGCGCTGCTGACGCTGGTCCTGCGCAACTTTGTTTTCCAGGAAGACATCGAGCCGCTGACGACAATCAGACGACTGTCGGCGAACTGGCTTGGAAGACTTGGCCTCTTTTGACTTAGTTGCTTCATTACTTCCAATCATATTTTTTTCAAGTTCCTCGTTTCTTGGGATTTGATTCATTTTAGCATTATTAAACAGATCAATCTCAGCTTTAGGGGTCCTGAATTTATCTATGTCTAAGAAGTCTACCCTCGACTCTTGTGCATCTGATCTGAGACCACTACGGAGGGGCGGGTCCTCAGCCAGGGTGCTGGCTGCTTCAGAACTCATTTGGTTTTCAGCTACAAATGTTTCTCCATTCACAAAAATTCTTATTTTACTTCCAGAAATTCTTTCTATGGTGCTCTCTTTCTCCGATTCTTTAATCCTTGAGTCTAAAGATTTCCCAGCCACATACTCTGAAGCTCTTGGCAACGCCTTGTTTCCTTCTTGCTTGTTCTCAAAATATGATTTTGCAACTGCAACAGTGTAGGGGAGGTGTTCTTCACTTGTTTGTTCGTCTGAGTTTCTCGTCTGGTATTGTTTTGGAACAGGTGAGAGTCTGGGAGACCTCCGACCCTGGATCACAACTGGCTTAGTAATTCTAGCAGAGCAGACTCTAGGATACCTTGCTGAATACGGTTTGGGGGACCACTCTGACGTTGGTGATCCTCTTATGGACCCTATTTTTGGGGAGAGAGACCGAGGGGAGTCAAGTTTTGGAGACTCAGACTGAGAGCCCGGCCTTGTAGATTTCTGTCGTCGATTTCGTACTGGAGACTGTCTAGGAGATATGTCCCTGGTGAGGCTATTGCTGGATCTTCCTTTGTGGAGTTGTGGTGAACGGCACAAACGCTCAATTTTAGGAGATGACAAAAGTTTTCTGTCGTTTGTGCCTTTTGTTTTGTTGACTTCGTGCTTTCTGGGGTCACTGGTCATCTTTAAGTGCTTTCCTCTCAATCCCCAGGTTTTCTTGCTTTTAGTTTTGGAGCTGTATTTCTGGTGAGGTCGGGGGTCATCTTTAATTCCACAGTGTACATCAATGTCAGGGGAAGCACTCTCCTCCTCGTTTTGCACTGGGCTGTTCACTGACACCTCCAAACCTTCTTCTTGACTACCTATCTCCTTTCTTATTCTTGAAACAATTAACTGTTCAGCTGGGTCTCCATTTCGATTGCTTTTTCGACTACTCATTGTCGTGCCTCTAGTTACCCCCTTCAACGCCTCCTCCTGTGTTTGACTCGCCCTCCTTTCTTGCCTGTGCCTGGGCGTCCCCAATGGTGGAACACTCTCGCTCCTCTCAGGTCTGGCCTTGGACAGTTTTGAGCTGTCGAAGATGAGAATGCGGTCCTTCTGAGGGACATCGAGCCGAGTGATGGTGTTTTGGCGCTTCTTCACCTGTGCTGTAGTCATGTTGAACTTCCTGGAGACTACCATTTCTTGCACGACCCGAGCCAGCTGTGGCGTTGTCCATGGACCCTCAAGATTCTCTAAGTCACCATTTTCTGACGAAGACGTCGATACACTCACCTTAACTTCGCCACGACTGTATCGTTGCATCGCAACAACTAGAGGTTCCTCCTTATTTACTTCCTCTAGTTTATTATCGCCATTGTCCCAACTGAAGGGTTTGTTCTCAATATTTTCAGCTTCAATATTATCTAGTATCTCAGAAGAGGATACCACACTGTTATCTTGCGTCTCTGGAGAGGACACCTGACCGCTATCTTGAGTCTCGGGTGAGGACACAACACCGTCTTGCACAGCAGCTTCTGGTTCATGGTAATGCCGAGTGGACGTACCTCTGGTGGCGCTATCATCTGTATGTATGACGTCATGCACAATATCCAGAGTATGTGATGGTAAATCACCGTCAGTTATGCTATGTGCTGGACTAACTGTCGTCTGATGCTTGGCTGGATAATTCTCTCTGGTTGCACTGTAAGTATCTTTCAGTGGCTCCGTCACGTGTCCATGTATTACACATTCCCCCACAGTAAGAGTCTTTGTATCAACATGTATCACGTTCTCGCTTTCATGGATATTGTCATTTCCATCAACTACTTTCTTCAAAGTGTAAAGTTTTTCATCTGTATCTTGTGGTAATAGTTCACAAACTTGTTTACTTTCCTCGTCGACAGGTGTGGGAGCTGTGGCGGGTGTGGGGGGTGTGGGGGCTTTTGTGGGTGCGGTGGTCGAAGCGGGTGTGGGGGCTGTAGCGGGTGTGGTAGTCGAGGAGGGTGTGGTGGTCGAGGCGGATGTGGGGGCTGTGGCGGGTGTGGTGGACGAGGCGGGTGTGGTGGACGAGGTGGGTGTGGTGGACGAGGCGGATGTGGTGGACGAGGCTGGTGTGGGGGCTGTGGCGGGTGTGGTGGACGAGGCGGGTGTGGGGGCTGTAGCGGGTGTGGTGATCGAGGCGGATGTGGTGGTCGAGGCGGGTGTGGGGGCTGTAGCGGGTGTGGTGGTCGAGGCGGGTGTGGGGGCTGTGGCGGGTGTGGGGGCTGTAGCGGGTGTGGTGGTCGAGGCGGGTGTGGGGGCTGTGGCGGGTGTGGGGGCTGTAGCGGGTGTGGTGGTCGAGGCGGGTGTGGGGGCTGTGGCGGGTGTGGGGGCTGTAGCGGGTGTGGTGGTCGAGGCGGGTGTGGCAGCAGCGCGGTCGTCACCCACCTTGACGCAACCCGTCTCTGGAGAAGACTGGAGCTGCTTCAGAGCTGCTTCAGTTAGCAGCGCCCTCCCACCCTCCGCCAACCTTTTAGGATTACCCGAGTCAGGTTTCTGAGCCTCTCTGGCGACTACTGTCATAGATGGGCTGATAGAACCATTACCAGCGGCGTCCTCGGCGAAGGACTTTACATGTGTGGTTCTAGCGTCTTTGACAAAGTTAGAAGTGTGAGCAGCTGGTCGTATGCCGGACGTGTCGTCCACACTTTTCTTGGTCATGGTCACGCTCCTCCTACTCTCCTTTGTTTTACTGATACTAGAGTCTTCCTCTGACGTCTGAGTGGTGGAATTTCCATCAGTACTTGGGGAAAATAGTTTGATAGGAATCATACTAGATTTGAGGAGAGATGTCGCATCTTTTTCTTGAGACGCCTCCCCAGACCTGTGGCGTGATCTAGCTGTGTTGTCATGACTCTCCAGAGGCGTTTTAATGCCTACAGTATCTCTAAGAGGTTCAGTAACCCTGGGAGAAGAATATAAAGTTTTCCCATCCTCGAGTTCAGTACTAGATGGATGTGTAGAATTCTCTGATTTCGATGTATGCGTAGAAGTTTCTTTTTTCAATATACGTGACTGAAAATTATGTGACTTAGCTTGGGTAACATCCAGCACAGATTTAGATGACTGTTCACAACACACTGTCCTTTTATCATGTGTTTCAAGACGACCACTGTAATAACTGAACTTGTCCCTTTCCACTGGATTGCTTTTATCATTATATTTTTTTATTATAAAGCTTTTGGTTCTGGGCTTTAAGCTCCGCAAATCCCTTAAGCACTTCATTTTCCTTGACCGACTGTCTTGAACTTCCTTCAGGATCTGCTTGGCTATATCAGAGAACTGTGCAATCCCTGTTTGTTTCTTGGGCTGTGTGGCCTCCTCCTCGACCCCTGTTTGTTTCTTGGGCTCTGTGGCCTCCTCCTCGACCCCTGTTTGTTTCTTGGGCTGTGTGGCCTCCTCCTCGACCCCTGTTTGTTTCTTGGGCTGTGTGGCCTCCTCCTCGACCCCTGTTTGTTTCTTGTGCTGTGTGGCCTCCTCCTCGACTCCTGTTTGTTTCTTGGGCTGTGTGGCCTCCTCCTCGACCTCTGTTTGTTTCTTGGGCTGTGTGGCCTCCTCCTCGACTCCTGCTTGTTTCTTGGGCTGTGTGGCCTCCTCCTCGACTCCTGCTTGTTTCTTGGGCTGTGTGGCCTCCTCCTCGACCTCTGTTTGTTTCTTGGGCTGTGTGGCCTCCTCCTCGACCTCTGTTTGTTTCTTGGGCTGTGTGGCCTCCTGGAGTCCTGCCGTCTCACCCTCAGCCACACCACACAAAGTGCTAACATCGTCGCTATTCGTGTCTTTGTCTGATGACATACGGCGTTCTTTTTTCGGTTCATCTTGTGGGTGGAGTTCCTTCTTCCTCACTTGGCGGTCAGTGTCAGCAGGTACCTTGCCCAACTCTCGCTCTCCATCCTCACATTCCTCACTCACTTCCTTATTTTCATCATTTTCCCAAATTTTCAAAACGCATTCGTAATTCTGCTCTTTCTTATCTTCTTTTTTATCACTCGCATTCCCATCGTCAGAGAATGTTTGTGCTCTTTTGCACTCTTCAGAATCTATGTTCTCGAGTGCGTCGACCCCCAACAGTTCCTCTGTCTCCATCGTTAAGTCACCTGCGTCTAACGTGGAAGACGTCTCTCTCTCTGCGTCACCCTCACTTTTACCTCCCAAAGTTCCTGTGGTTGCGAACTCTCCTTCAGCCATTAGTGCGTCTCCGCCTCCCATGATATCCGGTTCACCTTTCTTGTCGGCTTTATCCTTGCCATCTGTGCCATTTCTTCCTGCAGTGTCTAAAGGAATAGTTTGTTTTCTTTCTCTGGCAGAGGCTAAAGAATCGATTCGTTCTCCTTCACCATCTCTAATATCCATTCCATCACCTCCACCATTCGTAATGCCTGGTTCTTCACCGCCACCACCTGTGACATCCTTGCCTCTCCCACCTACATCACGTGCTTCGTCTACTACTTCTACCTCTTCGTCTACCTCTTCTACTTCGTCTCCACCATCGGCGCTTGCTGTTCCTTCCTCCTCCAGGCCAGAAACCTCTATACCTCGTTTATCTACATCATCGGCTCCTCCACCACCCTCTTCCAGTATACCCGCTCCTTCTGCTCCGAACTCAGTAACGTCTGTTATTTCACTGTCAGTAGCGTACGTTCCTTCACTGCTGTTTGTGACGACTGATTCTCGGTCTTCGCCGTTGACTGTGACCGTTTCTTGGCCGCCACCGTTGATGGCGACTGATTCTTGGTCTTTACTGTTGATGGTGAGTGATTCTTGGTCATTACTGTTGATGACTGATTCTTGGTCTTCACTGTTGATGGTGACTGATTCTTGGTCTTCACTGTTGATGGTGACTGATTCTTGGTCTTCACTGTTGATGGTGACTGATTCTTGGTCTTCACTGTTGATGGTGACTGATTCTTGGTCTTCACTGTTGATGGTGACTGATTCTTGGTCTTCACTGTTGACGGTGACTGATTCTTGGTCTTCACTGTTGATGGTGACTGATTCTTGGTCTTCACTGTTGATGGCAACCGTTCCTCCACCATCTGTAACTTCTGCTCCTTCTCCATCATCTGTTCCATCTTCGCCATCTGTTCCATCTTCACCACCTGTTCCTTCTCCATTATCTGTTCCATCTACACCAATTGCTAATTTTCCACCATCTGTTCCTTCTTCATCACCTGTAACGATTGTTACTTCTCCATCATCTGTTCCATCTACACCACTTGTTCCTTTTCCCCCATCCTTTCTATTTCTACCATCTGAAACTACTGTTCCTTCTTCACCATCTGTTACATCTATTTCCTTTCCATCACCTGCTCCTCCGTCATCTGTTCCATTTCCACCATCTGTTCCTTCTCGTTCATCTGTAATGTCTATTACATCTCTACCATCTGTTCCTTCTCTATCATCTGAAATGTCTGTTCCATCTCCACCATCTGTTCCTTCGTCATCATCTGAAACATCTGTTCCATTTTCACCATCAGTAACGCCTGTTCCATCTCCATCATCTGTTCCATTTCCACCCTCTGTTCCGTCTCCATCTGTAACGTCTGTTCTATCACTATCATCTGTAACGCTTGGCTCATTACTAACATCTGTTCCATCTCCGTCACCTGTTCCTTCTCTTCCATGGTCTGTAAACTCTTTTCCTTTTCCACTTCCATCTATTTCTTCCCCTAAACCGCCGATCTCTTTTTCACCGCCGTCTGCAGTGACTGTTCCTTCACCGCCGTCTGCAGTGACTATTCCTTCACCGCCGACTGCAATGACTGTTCCTTCACCGCCGTCTGCAGTGACTGTTCCTTCACCACCGACTGCAATGACTGTTCCTTCACCGCCGTCTGCAGTGACTGTTCCTTCACCGCCGTCTGCAGTGACAGTTCCTTCACCGCCGTCTGCAGTGACTGTTCCTTCACCGCCGTCTGCAGTGACTGTTCCTTCACCGCCGTCTGCAGTAACTGGTCCTTCACCGCCGTCTGCAGTGACTGTTCCTTCACTGCCATCTGTGGTGACTATTCTTTCACCGCCGTCTGCAGTGAGTATTCCTTCTCCGCCGTCTGCAGTGACTATTCCTTCATCGCCGTCTGCAGCGACTATTCCTTCAGAGAAGTCTGCAGTGACTATTCTTTCACCGCCAACTGCAGTGACTGTTCCTTCACCGCCGTCTGCAGTGACTATTCCTTCACTGCCGTCTGCAGTGACTGTTCCTTCACAGTCGTCTGCAGTGACTATTCCTTCACCGCCGTCTGCAGTGACTATGCCTTCACCGCCGTCTGCAGTGACTGTTCCTTCACCACAGTCTGCAGTGACTATTCCCTCATCGCCGTCTGCAGTGACTGTTCCTTCAATGCCATCTGCAGTGTCTGTTACTTCACTGTCATCTGCAGTGTCTGTCCCTTCACTGCCATCTGCAGTGTCTGTCCCTTCACTGCCATCTGCAGTGTCTGTCCCTTCACCGCCGTCTGCAGTGTCTATTTCTTCAGTGCCATCTGCAGTGTCTGTTCCTTCACTGCCATCTGCAGTGTCTGTTCCTTCACTGCCATCTGCAGTGTCTGTCCCTTCACTGGCGTCTGCAGTGTCTGTCCCTTCACTTGCGTCTGCAGTGACTGTTCCTTCACTGCCGTCTACAATGACTGATCCTTCAACGCCGTCTGCAGTGACCGTTCCTTCACCGCCGTCTGCAGTGACCGTTCCTTCACCGCCGTCTGCAGAAACCGTTCTTTCACCGCCGTCTGCAGTGTCCGTTCCTTCACTGCCGTCTGCAGAGACCGTTATTTCACCGCCGTCTGCAGTGACCGTTCCTTCACTGCCGTCTACAGTGACCGTTCTTTCACCGCCTTCTGCAGTGACCGTTCCTTCACTGCCGTCTACAGTGACTATTCCTTCACCGCCGTCTACAGTGACTGTTCCTTCACCGCCGTCTGCAGTGACCGTTCCTTCACTGCCGTCTACAGTGACTGTTTCTTCACCGCCATCTGCAGTGACTGTTCCTTCACCGCCGTCTACAGTGACTGTTCCTTCACTGCCGTCTGCAGTGACTATTGCTTCACCACCATCTACAGTGACTGCTCCTTCACAGCCATCTGCAGTGACTATTTCTTCACCGCCGTCTGCAGTGACTGTTCTTTCCCCGCCGTCTGCAGTGATTGTTTCTTCAATGCCGTCTGCAGTGACTATTCTTTCACCGCCGTCTGCAGTGACTGTTTCTTCACTGCCGTCTACAGTGACCGTTCCTTCACCGCCGTCTGCAGTGACCATTCCTTCACCGCCGTTTGCAGACACTATTCTTTCACCGCCTTCTGCAGTGACCGTTCCTTCACTGCCGTCTACAGTGACTATTCCTTCACCGCCGTCTACAGTGACTGTTCCTTCACCGCCGTCTGCAGTGACCGTTCCTTCACTGCCGTCTACAGTGACTGTTTCTTCACCGCCATCTGCAGTGACTGTTCCTTCACCGCCGTCTACAGTGACTGTTCCTTCACTGCCGTCTGCAGTGACTATTGCTTCACCACCATCTACAGTGACTGCTCCTTCACAGCCATCTGCAGTGACTATTTCTTCACCGCCGTCTGCAGTGACTGTTCTTTCCCCGCCGTCTGCAGTGATTGTTTCTTCAATGCCGTCTGCAGTGACTATTCTTTCACCGCCGTCTGCAGTGACTGTTTCTTCACCGCCGTCTGCAGTGACTGTTTCTTCACCGCCGTCTGCAGTGATTATTCCTTCACCACCGTTTGCAGTGACTGTTTCTTCAATGCCGTCTGCAGTGCCTATTCTTTCACCGCCGTCTGCAGTGTCTGTTCCTTCACTGCCATCTGCAGTGTCTGTTCCTTCACTGTCATCTGCAGTGTTTGTCCCTTCACTGTCGTCTGCAGTGACTGTTTCTTCACCGCCGTTTGCAGTGACCGTTCTTTCACCGCCGTTTGCAGTGACTGTTTCTTCACTGCCGTCTGCAGTGACTATTCCTTCACCACCATCTACAGTAACTGTTCCTTCCCCGCCGTCTGCAGTGACTGTTCCTTCACCGCCGTCTACAGTGACTGTTCCTTCACCGCCGTCTGCAGTGACTGTTCCTTCACCGCCGTCTGCAGTGAGTGTTCCTTCTCCGCCGTCTACAGTGACTGTTCCTTCACCGCCGTCTGCAGTGACTGTTCCTTCACCGCCGTCTGCAGTGACTGTTCCTTCACTGTCGTCTGCAGTGACTATTCCTTCTCCGCCGTCTGCAGTGACTATTCCTTCACCGCCGTCTGCAGTGACTGTTCCTTCACCGCCGTCTGCAGTGACTGTTCCTTCTCCGCCGTCTACAGTGACTGTTCCTTCACCGCCGTCTGCAGTGACTATTCTTTCACCGCCGTCTGCAGTGTCTGTTCCTTCACTGCCATCTGCAGTGTCTGTTCCTTCACTGCCATCTGCAGTGTCTGTCCCTTCACTGTCGTCTGCAGTGACTGTTCCTTCACCGCCGTCTGCAGTAACCGTTCCTTCACTGCCGTCTACAATGACTGTTCCTTCACCGCCGTCTGCAGTGACTGTTCCTTCACCGCCGTCTGCAGTGACTGTCCCTTCACCGCCGTCTGCAGTGAATATTCCTTGACCACCGTCTGCAGTGTCTGTTCCTTCTCCGCCGTCTGCAGTGACTGTTCCTTCACCGGCGACTGCAGTGACTGTTCCTTCATCGCTGTCTGCAGTGTCTGTTCCTTCACCGCCGCCTGCAGTGACTGTTCCTTCACCGCCGTCTGCAGTGACTGTTCCTTCACCGCCGTCTGCAGTGACTGTTCCTTCACTGCCATCTGCAGTGTCTGTTCCTTCACTGATATCTACAGTGTCCGTTCCTTCACTGTCGTCTGCTGTGTCTGCTCCTTCACTGCTGTCTGCAATGACAGTTCTTTCACCGCCGTCTGCAGTGACCGTTCCTTCACCGCCGACTGCAGTGACTGTTCCTGCACCCCCGTCTGCAGTGACTGTTCCTTCACTGCCATCTGCAGTGTCTGTTCCTTCACTGCCATCTACAGTAACTGTTCCTTCCCCGCCGTCTGCAGTGACTGTTCCTTCACCGCCGTCTACAGTGACTGTTCCTTCACCGCCGTCTGCAGTGACTGTTCCTTCACCGCCGTCTGTAGTGACTGTTCCTTCACCGCCGTCTGCAGTGACTGTTCCTTCACCGCCGTCTGCAGTGACTGTTCCTTCACCGCCGTCTGCAGTGACTGTTCCTTCACCGCCGTCTGCAGTGACTGTTCCTTCACCGCCGACTGCCGTGACTGTTCCTTCACCGCCGTCTACAGTGACTGTTTCTTCACTGCTGTCTGCAGTGACTGTTCCTTCACCGCCGTCTGCAGTGACTGTTTCTTCACCGCCGTCTGCAGTGACTGTTCCTTTACTGCCATCTGCAGTGTCTGTTCCTTCACTGCCATCTACAGTAACTGTTCCTTCCCCGCCGTCTGCAGTGACTGTTCCTTCACCGCCGTCTACTGTGACTGTTCCTTCACCGCCATCTGCAGTGACTGTTCCTTCACCGCCGTCTGTAGTGACTGTTCCTTCACCGCCGTCTGCAGTGACTGTTCCTTCACCGCCGTCTGCAGTGACTGTTCCTTCACCGCCGTCTGCAGTGACTGTTCCTTCACCGTCGACTGCAGTGACTGGTCCTTCACCGCCGTCTGCAGTGACTGTTCCTTTACCACCGTCTACAGTGACTGTTCCTTCACCGCCGTCTGCAGTGACTGTTCCTTCACCGCCGTCTGCAGTGACTGTTCCTTCACCGTCGACTGCAGTGACTGGTCCTTCACCGCCGTCTGCAGTGACTGTTCCTTCACCGCCGTCTGCAGTGACTGTTCCTTCACCGCCGTCTGCAGTGACTGTTCCTTCATCGCTGTCTGCAGTGACTGTTCCTTCACCGCCGACTGCCGTGACTGTTCCTTCACCGCCGTCTACAGTGACTGTTTCTTCACCGCTGTCTGCAGTGACTGTTCCTTCACCGCCGTCTGCAGTGACTGTTTCTTCACCGCCGTCTGCAGTGACTGGTCCTTCACCGCCGTCTGCAGTGACTGTTCCTTTACCACCGTCTGCAGTGACTGTTCCTTCACCGCCGTCTGCAGTGACTGGTCCTTCACCGCCGTCTGCAGTGACTGGTCTTTCACCGCCGTCTGCAGTGACTGTTCCTTTACCACCGTCTGCAGTGACTGTTCCTTCACCGCCGTCTGCAGTGACTGTTCCTTCACCGCCGTCTGCAGTGACTGTTCCCGCACCGCCGTCTGCAGTGACTGCTCCTTCACCGCCGTCTGCAGTGACTGCTCCTTCACCGCCGTCTGCAGTGACTGCTCCTTCACCGCCGTCTGCAGTGACTGTTCTTTCACCGCCGTCTGCAGTGACTGTTCCCGCACCGCCGTCTGCAGTGACTGCTCGTTCACCGCCGTCTGCAGTGACTGCTCGTTCACCGCCGTCTGCAGTGACTGCTCGTTCACCGCCGTCTGCAGTGACTGCTCGTTCACCGCCGTCTGCAGTGACTGCTCCTTCACTCGCACAGAATGTGGCGCGTGTCCTTCCTTCTCCACTATATACGTCACCTGTTTCCTCGTTCCGAGTGGCTACTTCGTCCCATTCCGCCTTTTCGCACACTCCGCCGTTCATCCTTGCCTCTTCTGCCCCATCTGGGCTCTCACCTGGCTCTCTCCCGGCTCTCCCAGCTCTCCCAGCGTCGTGCCCCGTCGACCCCCACACTCTGGCACCTGCTCTTGTTCCAGTCTCGCCTCTTCTCGACTCTTCGCTCGTCTCACTCACTGTGTTTGTGTCCATCTCAGTATCCACCTCATAAGAGTCCTCGTAATCGCTTGAACTTGAGGACCTGGGGATCCCGTCGCCATCCTCATCCTTCTCTTCTTCCTCATCAATTATGTTCCCCCTTTCCTCGTCCTCCTCCTCTCCTTTATCTACCAAGTTCTCTTCCTCCTCCTCCTCCTCCTCCTCCTCCCCTTCAAATTTATCTTGATCTCTATGTGCACCTTCTTCATCTTCTTCTTCTTCCTCGACGTTTTGGAGATCGTGGTGGTGTTGGTCAGGACGTTCCCGGGTTATGATGTGATCTTTAGTCTGGGTAACTGTGCCCAGTGGGACAGAGCCCTTCAACCCCCCTACGTCAGTAGGTTCTTCCTGACTTCCTAATTCTTCCTGCTCTCCGAGTTCTTCCTCAGTTCCTAGTTCTTCACCAGTTCCCACTTCCTCTTCGTCTTCTAGTTCTTCCCTTTCTTCTAACTGTTCCTCAGTTCCAAGTTCATCTTCAGTTGCCGGTGATTCCTTAGGCCACCGTCCTATTTCAGTTAAAGGTTCTTCTTCAATCCACAGTTCTTCCCCTGAGAGAAATTCCTCGTCGGCGCCAGAGACAGATCTCCTCCCAGCAGTGTCTTCTCCCTCGGAGACATCGACGAACTCCTCCTCCTCGACGATCCGACGCTTCCTCACTGCTCCTGGGATGAGGTTCCCGACGTACGACCAAATTCCCCTCCACTCCATAACGGACGGTGACTTACCAGTGTGGACGCATGCTGTACCGGTCAGACCCTACGCTTTCTTCCTTCACCTTCACACACGTTTTCATTTAATATTTGAGGAGAAACTAGAGAAAAACTGCTAGTTATTAACGCCGCAGATCACACGTTCCCAAACAACACTGCACTTCAAGAAAAGCGTAAACATCTTGGGGAAGGGTCAAATTGGCGGTGGCAATGTGCGTGTGTGTCCGTAGCGTAGTCAAATGAGCAACTGAGTGGGGGGCCCTCGCCCTGAGGGGTCGCCACATACGTAATTTTGGTGTCGTGTTTTGTGTGGGGACAAAGGGCGTCTCGGGCTGGTGGCGGAGCACAGGAGGGCGGCAGCCGGCCGTGAAACATGCTGCTACCTGACACGCCTTCACGCAGCGCCGCCACCACCACCTACACCATCATCCACACACCCACCACCACTTCACAACCCCCCCCCCCCCCGCCCTACGTCACCTGAATCCTTCCCAACTTCACCAGGAGCATTACCAACATCATCAGAACCATCCCCAACATCACCAGAACCAACACATACGTCACCAGAACCACAACAACCGCCTGTATCACCACTGCCACAACCATCACCACCAGAACATCCCCCTCCCTCCCCACAACCCCGCCCAAACCCCCCACCCAGCGCGTAAACATCAAACATAACCGGTAATCACAACACAAGGAGCAGCAAGTGCTTCCAACATTCCAGTTGATGACCACCCGGGCTGGGTACCAGTATTTACTTACGTTTATTCGATTCATGTGTGCTCCCAACATCCACCCGAGTCCTCTGGTCCTACTTTCCCTCAATTTAAAGAGGCTGCCCTGGTCCACTCTATTTCCGTTTGATGGTGGAGTGGGTGGAGGTGGAGTGGGTGGAGATGGAGTGGGTGGAGATGAAGAGCGGTGGAGTGGGTGGAGGTGGAGTGGGTGGAGATGAAGAGGGGTGGAGTGGGTGGAGGTGGAGTGGGTGGAGGTGGAGAGGGTGGAGGTGGAGTGGGTGGAGATGGAGTGGGTGGAGGTGGAGGGAGTAATGTAATGCCGTACAGTATTCCCCAATGTTCACTTATATATAATAACTTTATGGAATAAAAAGAATTTAGGTCGTATAATGAGTTCAAGGAATATAATGAAAACATGAAGTATAATGATACGAGTGCAGAAAACGTAATGAACAGTATAATGAATTTAGAAAGCATGATGAAGTATGAAGTATAATTCAATAGTTCAAGATGTATAATGAGTATTGAAAACATGTAGAATACAGGTACCTTAATGAAAGGAAGGAGTATATGAGGAGAGTATAATAAACACATAAGGTATAATAAGTACGGCATAATGAGTGTACAAGTTGTACAGAGTACCGTAGGCAGGTAAGGGAGGCAGACGGACGGACGGACGGATAGGGGTCTTTCCCAAATACCGTATACGATAAATATATGCATTTCTTTAACATTTAGGGAGATCTACATGTGTGGCGCTACCTTAGACTATATGAAGGGAGGATTATAGCATCATGTGGTTAGTGCTTGACAGAGCGTGTCAAGAACTAGTTACGTCATGCTAAAAGTCCCCATCACACAGGATGGTTAGTCATACAGGACCATGTGATCACTAGTCTACACTGGCAGACTCTAGGTGCATTATGAGGTTATTCTCAAGAACACGAGAGTGAATGAGGCAGCAGTGATACGAACGTGTTGTCATTTTTAATATACGCAAGTGTACACGCATAAAAATCTATGGACTTGGCCACACATATTTCATTTCGTGGTCGGTTTCTCTCTCTCTCTCTCTCTCTCTCTCTCTCTCTCTCTCTCTCTCTCTCTCTCTCTCTCTCTCTCTCTCTCTCTCTCTCTCTCTCTCTCTCTCTCCCTCTCCCTCTCCCTGTCTCTCTCTCTCTCTCTCTCTGAACGGGGGACGGAAAGTTCAAAAGCATAGATAAAGTGGATTACGCCAAGGAAAAAAAGAGAGAAGAGGGAGAGATAAAGTGATAAACAACGTACAGAGTGTTGGTTGAAGAGGAGTAGAAGAGGAGGCTGTGTATGAGTGGGGTAGAGGAGGGGGGGGGGGAAGGTGAGAGGATGGAGGGGGGTAGGAGAGGGAATGGTGAGGGGAGGGAGAGAGGATTTTTTGGTTTTCTACCACAGTCATTACCATATATTGGTAACCAGCATATATACATTTCTGTCCTCCATGGACAGGGTTAGAGATGTGTTAGATATATAGTTCAGTGATTTATTGATCACTCAACCACAGAAGGTGATTGTAGAGTTTTTGGAGAGGAGACGGCGACGGGGTGCTTACCTAATAGTATCTGTCTACGGAGGAACTGAGGTCTAACTCTGTACAACCCTACCATCCACGTTGTACCTGTTGTGTTACAATTTTACTTTTTTCACGTTCAAATTCTTTGTTAAATCTAGCCTTAAAAGTTGTGGATGGAAGTGGCTTCCACAACCTCTTCTTTCAGTGTATTCCACTTGTTGACCATCCGTACAGGGTACGAGTACTATATTACAGTCCTCAAACTCATTTGCGGCTCCAGCTTCCACCTGTGTCCGCGTGTCCTGCTTTCTCTTAATGAAGAGGCTGTCCTTGTCCACCTTATCTATTATCCTCATTATCTTGTATGTTGTATTCATATCCCCTCTGTTCCTTCTATCATCTAGGGTTGTGAAACATAGTTCCATTAGCCTATTCTCGTATCCAAACCCTCTTAGCTCTGGCACCAATCTTGTTGCAAACCTTTGTAGTCTTTAAACTTTGCCTTATGCTTCACAAGGTGCGGATTCCATGCCGGTGCTGTATATTTTAGAACTGGTCTAATAAATGACTTGAAGAAATCCTGATTTAGGTTTCTAAATGATGTTCTAATATTTGCCAGCGTCCCATATGCTGCCAATGTTATCCTGATTATGTGTGTCTCTGGTGTTTGTGATGGAACTATATCCACTCCCAAATCTTTCTCGCTTTCCGATTCTTGTAGTTGGCTTCCCTCTTCTGGTGTAGTTGCCTTCTGCTCTCCTCTCTCTATTTCCCATCTTCATCACGTTACACTTGTCAGGACTGAATTCCAGCAACCATTTGTTTGACGAAGAGTTTATTAAACCTGGAGTTGATCTAGGTCCTTCCTGCAGTCCTCTGTCCTCACACTCACGACAACACTCATTCCATATATATATATATATATATATATATATATATATATATATATATATATATGTCGTACCTAGTAGCCAGAACTCACTTGTCAGCCTACTATGCAAGGCCCGATTTGCCTAATAAGCCAAGTTTTCCTGAATTAATATATTTTCACTAATTTTTTTCTTATGAAACGATAAAGCTACCCATTTCATTATGTATGAGGTCAATTTTTTTTTATTGGAGTTAAAATTAACGTAGATATATGACCGAACCTAACCAACCCTACCTAACCTAACCTAACCTATCTTTATAGGTTAGGTTAGGTTAGGTAGCCGAAAAAGTTAGGTTAGGTTAGGTTAGGTAGGTTAGGTAGTCGAAAACCAATTAATTCATGAAAACTTGGCTTATTAGGCAAATTGGGCCTTGCATAGTAGGCTGAGAAGTGCGTTCTGGCTACTAGGTACGACATATATATATATATATATATATATATATATATATATATATATATATATATATATATATTGTACCCTGCATCCTGTGGGCACAGTATCCAGAAGTAACGTTGATCCAACATTGCTCTTGGATTTTGCGCCCACTAGATAGAAGGCTGTTCGGGCCCCGATGGCAATTACCTCCATTTAACAACCCGTACTCCGCCCCGAAGTAATAAACACATACTGACAAGCTTCCATGTTAATAAATCTGTATTTGACCTCTACATCTGGCTCCCAACTGATTAACAAACATGCCTTCTCACACATGAATTAATAAACCTCTAACATACATATTGGAGGTTCGAGAATTATTAGGCCTAAACACATGTTGCAGTAAGGCGTTATATTTACGGTTGATTTAGGGAATGTTTACAGTATATCAACCTATCCTCAGGCTAAGTTCGTTCAAGCTGCGGCCAACGCCAAATACGCATTCGTCTATTTAAACGTTCTGTGTACTCAAAGCACTTTATAATCGGCATATTTTAAATATAAACTTTTATTATATAATATAATTTCGTTAATAGTTGGGCCGGAGTTGGGTTAGTTGTTTAGTTCCTGTTAGAAAACGTCCTGCGAGTTTGGAGTTGTGATTTTCATTCATAAACGTGGGTTTGGCAGCTAGATTAACGAGCATTTGACCTTTGTTTATGAGGACGGGGTGGAAGTCAGAGGTAGGAGCGCCTTTATGGCACCATGTCAACAGTCACGTGTTTACATGTGACGATGTTAGGCGGGAGGAAGGCAGACGCACGCCAGGATGACTAAGACGCGCCATGCGACCCCGTCCGTCATGCACTCTCAACACCCTAAGCTGAGCGCCCCGGCTCCTGCAGCACCCTAGGGCACCTGGGCCCTCCAGGAGGTGAAGGTAGTCCACACAGACGCTGCTACAGGTAAGGTAAGCTACAGGTAATTTCCATCCCCATGGGGATGGAAATAATGAAGGAATAGAAAGGAAAATGAGGATGGAAGAGGTAGAGCGGCAGTAGAGACGGGTCCTGGCGCTCCGTAACCAGTTGTCATACAACACCAAGCCTACCGTCACACACACTGACTCAGTGACGCCCACCGCAACATCTAACCCTCGACTGACCAGGAAAGACTACAGTGCACCTTTATGAGGTATATAAACAGGACAACTAAATAAATCACCAGCTGTTACCTCACAATCTGCTACCCAATCAACTTCCATCCAGTTAGAGGGGGAGGGGGGGATGGAGAAGGAGTTAGACAGGTGGAGGAAGGGGACGAGACAGGAGAGCAGGAAGACCAACAGGAGGGGGGGGGGAGAAAAGGAAGGTACATGATGGCAGGAGGGGGGGGGGGTGGAATA